GCAGCTGCCCACTCCCTTGTGATAAATAGTTGAAAAGGCAAATGTTGGTCATATCAAGCCTCGAGTTAAAGCACTTTCCCATGTACCCGAGTCCTGGGCCATGCTACCGACATGGAGAAGACATGTAAAGAGCAGAGCACAATGCCACACAATAGCTCAATGAATCTCGAAAAAGAAAACTGTCCAGACAAATTATGATTCCCAAGACAGTGCCGTGATGTAGGAGCTGGCCGTGGTGTGTTGGTCACTCCTTCATTTCTGGGGACTCGGCTTTAATTAAGTTCAGCCACAGACAATAGACCATGGTCCATAGTCTGCGGTCCAGCCAATCATCATTGGCTTATCTCTGTGACAATCCCGTGATTCGGTGTTCGGAGCAATCCATGGTATTTTTCCACCTTTCTAAAAATAAATCTCTCATGTGAGGAGAATGTCTAGTATTGGATAACACCCTCCACTCACATGAAATGTATTTAAATTAGGAGTAGCCGTTATTAAGTTTATAAATATTTAGTGGTAGAAATTCTACAAACCTGACTCAATTACAAACCAACTTTGACAAATCAGAGTAAAACAAATTAAACACGCAAGATCAAGATTGACGCAGATTGATTAGTAAACAATCACTTAATACGGCTGCAAAACGAATCGGAACGAGAAACTTGGAGAGAGTTAATTTAGTTAGCAGTTCCACTTACACTCATTTAAATTAATTGCATGCGTAAAAACAAATATTATGCAGTACTACTTGCCGATCAAACATCCACGAACAAACAAGATTAATCTGTACCAAAATGACAACAGAAAGGAAACAGTTCAACAGGGTAACAATAGACAAGCTGTCTTCCGGTGTTACAGTTATTTAACAGCTGATTATGTTCTGTTATGAATATTCAACGAACGGCGATTATTCAAATGGCAGTGGCGGACGGACACGGCGCGTGAACACACATGGAGGCTGTGGTAGATCGGTTTATTGTGGAACTTCCGGTAGTTCCATTGTTGCAGATTATGCCGCTATTATACTACCTGTTCTGAAAATATGCTAGGTCGATGCAAAAATTACGTTTATGAAGTGTAAAATGAAACTACAGAGAAATACTCTAAATACAAGTTTGGTATGGCCTTCAAGTAGATACAAGTTCATCCATGGTGTGAAAACACACACGTTGAAACTAAAGAAATACACGTTATGCGAATTAATTTTCTTTAAAGAAAGGAGCATTCAAATTTATAAATGGTTCAAGTTTTACATCGATCACTTTGGCCAAAAGTGTCTGTTCAACACTGGCTCATTTTCCTATTAAGCTTGAGCTCGTTTCGTAAAATCATTTTAGGCCCTAGTGATGAAACAAACCATATTTTAGTAAAGTGTTAATGATAGAATACTCAGAATAGTAACGCAAACTGATCAACCAGAACTAATCTTTCATCCGCTTGAATAATAGGCTTAATTGGTTAATAGGCTTCGTTATTGATTTGAGCTCTTTGTCATGTAACCAATTAACTGATTGTTAAGTTAATTATTACTCGGTTCTTCACACGATTTCAAGGCAACTAACATCAGTGGTCCAAAGTATTGAATCATTTCTAGATATCAGTTGATTATTTTTTGTAGTCGTATTGAGAATTATGCCTAACTCAACCCAGGTTGGCACTACAAGTTGCTCAAAATTACAGTACTATTTATCAATCTAGATTCCGCCAGGCAAGGTCATATGAGGTTTCTTTCTCGGGATAATAACTCATTTCCTCGACTTCCCGAACCTGAATCTCTCCAGATACGTTCACTTTCTCTCGCCGGTCACTGGCCACTGGTCGTTCAGGTTGTAAAGCAAGTATCGAGAGATATCACCCCAGCATCACTGTCGTCGCATTCTCTGTATACTAGCTTTTACCAAATCTCGGGAGCAGTTTTTCAATCTCGTAAATACTTTATTAACGGCCCTCACCGGTTTCTAAACCACGAAAAGCAGTGGCAACATAAAATAAACGTTATCCTCCTGTCCAAAGTCCAAACGGTTTTAGTGGGCTCATATCTATAAACAAACTCGATAGTTGACATCAGTTGTACAGTAACAACAGTTCATTATTTTTATTTACAGTTCTTAGAACTTGAAAATTTCCAGGTTTAGAGGGGGGGGGGGTGGGATTTCCTAAATTGATAGCATAGGATGCTGTGTTTGCCATTGCCACTGCAACAATCCACTCTGCCTCCTGTATGACGTCACCGTGACGGGAAAGTGCCGCAGATACTCAAGGAGGCAGTGGATGTGAAAGTGAAATGTCCTTAGCCTTAGCTACGGTCACGACACTGTCCAGTCGTCACGGCAGGACCGAGAAATGAGACTCGAGAATCGCTGGAAAGCGATCCAATTTGCTAGGATCTCAATTCTTACTTGGATAGTTGTTATGAAATAGCAACCTAGAGAATCTCGGTATTGTATAATATTTGTGAATGGACAGAGGTGCGGTAGGCATATACAAAAGTAGGTAGGTAGTATACAGTAGGTTGGTAATAATTATAATTTTAGAGCCCAAGTTTTATACATAGCTGTGATTGAAAAAGATGAGCATGTAGCATGTTTTTCATTACAATTATTATATGAGTTGTGTAACACGACCAACACCAACGATCAGTGATAGTGGGGGTTTGAAAAAATTATGGATAAACATTAAGAGAGTAGGTACCAATTGTGTTTAATCTGTGGTATAGTTAAGGTTGGTCTAATTTACATTTTTGCACCCCAAATCACTTACTCAGCCTGCAAATAGATAAAGCTCGATTAAGTCTAAACTCCATTACGATTCATCATCAGCAGCAAGCAGATAAAGCCATAATTGTGCTATATTTGACGAATATATACACGAACATACAGATATGGTATGTCGTAATGGAATGGAAACGTGCAATTACTTAAAAGTGTCAAGGCTACTTAAAAATATACAATGGTACAATATAACGCGAAATTGTAACGCGCTCTGTAATGTTATAACAGAACTGCCAGGAGTAAATTAACAATATGAAGAGTGAATACCATTGGTTTGACAATAAATCTTTAAGAACGCAGCATTAGCAATAAACAATAAACATTGATTATAACTAATGGTATTAGTCTCTGTACTAGGTTTCTATTCTGTGTTCTCTGGTTACAAAAGGGCTGTAGAATAGTAGGATATAGGACCCTACTATCCCTAGGATATAGGATTTGGTAGGAAGTGGACCTTGACATCTGACGTTTACAGCAAGCACTAAACAACAAAGGGTGTGGAATCTTATGAGATCAGCTGATAAGAGTCAGCAAGTCTTTCATCGTGTTGGTGTTGGTATTATAACACTGGATTCTTGTTAATGTCCAGTAAACGAATCTGCGAATAAACAAGTCTTATCAAGGATCTCTTATCAGTTTATATCAAGCGGTTCGTAAAAGCACAGTACAGTATACGATGCACTCTTTACAGTCATGTCTGTGTCAATCTTGTGGAGAAACCATTGACTTTTGAATGCTGCTATCTTTATGGACCAGTTGTAGCCATCATACTATCATAGATGAAGTCCAAGTCATCTTGTCATATATGGAAGTAGGCCTAATATAATTACTTGATCTATGATACTATTAAATAAAACATGTATGCTATTAAATTAAATTTCCTCTGATAATCTTCGATAGACTATAGTTAATAACATTAAATGCTGTGTTTTACAAAGTTTCCCTAAAAGTTGGTGTGTATGACAGATCATTCATTGATAGCAATTAATACGGATCATCCTACTAGATGCTATTGTATAATATTATAGTTATATTAATACTGTACAGTAGTACAGTACTTTCATCTAAAAATGTGAGGTAAATTTACTTCCAATAGAGTCTACAGATTTACTTTAAGATTACTACTTAAGCATTGCACTTATATTGCATTCATATTCACTATTCAGCTTATACAGTAAATACGCATTGTATGATGCGCGATACAGTTTAAAAATAATTGTCATGACGATAAAAAACAATACAGACAAACTCTTGGAGGCTTTCATCAATACGGGGATCATCGGGGGAAATAAACAAATAATTACCCATTATGTAGTAGTCCGCAGATAGCCCAGTATCATTGACTATATAACCACAAATATAGTCAATGCCAGTATGTTGTGGCTCGATTGTATGTAGCCATATGTTGTGGTTATATAGTCAATGCCAGTACAGGCCGGACCATAGTTCTAGGCGTCTCGCTGACGCATGCGTAGTAACGAATTTGCATTTAATCATATGTTAGCCCAAGTTTTAACAGATGGGGAATTAACACAGCAAATTAATGCGCATGCGTCCGCCAGACGCCTAGAACTTTGGTCCAGCCTGTATGTATATGAGAGGGGTTTCTCCTATCCATTGACAAAGATTCACTACACTCGTTTGCAACTCGCAATTCGAACTTTCTGCGATGCTGCCTTAGAAAGTAGAGTAAGCAATCATAGTTTAATAAAAACGAGAGGTCGTCCAGTGGTCGAAACTCGACCATGTCGATATGTAATGTACTCACTTATCTATTTTCACCCCACACTGTAAATAAAACATGTGATTGGAGTTTCTTCCATTTGTTTTTATTATCTGTTTATATTTCGTTGTTATTTCGTCACCATGGCAACGCATAAGATCCATGTTAATTTTTTCAAATTTTTAAACTCATTTTTCGTGCTTATCTTTGAGCCTATTTAAATTTATAAAGGGATTCTGCACACCTACAGGAAAATAGCTTTCTAACGGTATGCGTAGATTTTCCCTACGATTCACACGAGCTGAGAAAAAAGGTTTTAAAGAAACATGCTTGCCTATTAATATATAGATAGATAGATGACGACGATGACGAGTATTAGGCCTATACACAAAAGTTTTCAGAAACACGGGGATAATCTGCAACCAAGAAATTTTAGAAGTCCTAACTTGTATGGGATATTCCTAACCAAAGTGTGTGACACATACTGATTCAAAATATGAACTCACCTCTTCCGCAGGGAAGTCATAGCACTCTGCGATCTTCTGGTACAACTCTCGTACGTTGGAGAACCCCGATATCAGTCCTGTGGGGCTCCCCTGGGCTTGTTGACAATGGAACACCAGTTTCTGTTTCTGCGGCTCCGCCATCGCCACTTCTCGTTCACTCTTCACTCCATTATTGTTCACAGTGGGAGTAGGTGTGGGTTTGGCAGGCGAATCGTGAACTCCGTTCGGGTCCTTGAGGAACTTTCGCGTGAACAGCGGCATATCTCCGCAACACTCGCACACACACTGACACTAGCCACACTGCACCACTAGAGATAACGCTATCTACATGATAAGAACTCTCAGAAATTGATTAAAAACTGTTGACATAGATAATTGTCACGTAATGTTTTATATTTATTTTTTCGGAACCGCACTTAACGAATTATGGATTGGAGTGTACTGGCACAGTCGAGACTACGCAGAAACTCGCGAGAAACTTGACATTTATGTTCGTGAGATGCACCGCGTCCCGCGAGTCGCAATCGCAATGAAGAATGAAATGAAGGGAAACAAGAGGACGAGACACTAGCGACAGCCGACAAGCGCCAGCTTCAGCTACCTAGCGGGGGAAACTGGAACTACCAGGCGCTCCTGTAGCGAGAATATGCTGATGCTCTATGTGGAGCATCGCTGTAGATGACAGCTGTAGCTAATAAAAAGCGGAAATGTTAATCTTATACTTGTAGTTGACTGGTTAGTGGTTACATGATAACTAGCTTCCGGTTTATGATTATAATTATTCTAGTATGGACTATGGAGACGAGTAGCCTCTTCCCGTCTTGGTAACCCAACAATAAGTTTTGATTTGTGTTTCCCAATAAAAAGAGAACGACAATACACACAGGATTTTCAAAAGATTATATATATTCTAATAAAATAGAAAATCCTATTTTTCATCACACTTTACATACGTTTTGCTGGTCATGCCAGCTGTCATCTAATTTGGGGACCGAGCAGGTTTTTACATCCCGGGGCCGCAAAAAGCATCTGTTCGCTTACTTTCTTAAAACATAAATCCTATCCTATCCTATACTCTAATACGAGCAAAGTTTGCTTGTATGTATGCTTGCACCAAGATCTCGAAAACTGCTCCGACGATTTTCTTCAAATGTTGTATATAGTTTATTATTGGCCTAAAACGAGTTTACTGCAATTAGAACTGCCAACAAAAATCTAATTACGTAGAAAAATGAAACTGAAAATCACATTTTTTTTAACATTAGTCTTATGGGTTGCTAGGTAACCATGTTGGCTGAATTAAATAACAAGGAAAATGTAAACAAAAGACTTGTAAGCTATCTATCCACAGTATACTAGCAAATCAAAATACAGTACAAAAGGAAAAACATCAGTTGTTACTATTGAGCAAAGATTATACTGAAGATTACTCGATTCTATATTCAAGGGTAGCAGTGTGGAGTGTGGGATCTGTTTATGACGATTAGATTACGGTATCTGCAATCCTTAAATGCTATAGGAAGGGAAGGAAACAAGTCCACGACATAGGAAGTGGTGAAGGAAGTAGTAAAGGCGAGCAGTCTGGAGTGTGGGAACTGTTTATGACGATTTAATTAAGGTATCTGCAAAATCTGCAATCCTAAAACGTAATGGGAATGGAGGAAAACAGGTCCATGACGTAGGAAATGGGGAAGGAAGTTGTAAGGATAGCAGTGCAGAGTGTGGGAACCGTCTGTGGCATTTATGTATCTGCAATTCTAAAATAGTATAAGGAAGGAGGGCAAACAGGTCTACGACATAGGGAGTGGTGAGGGAAGTAGTAAGGGTGAGCAGTCCGGAGTGTGGGAATTGTTAATAATAATTAGATCAAATTATCTACAATCCTAAAATGCTATGGGAAGGGAGGGAATCAGGTCCGCGACGTAGGAAGTGGTGAAGGAAGTAGTAAAGGCGAGCAGTCTGGAGTGTGGAAACTGTTTATGACGATTAGATTAAGGAATCTGCAATCCTAAAATGCTATGGGAAGGGAGGGAAACAGGTTCACGACGTAGGAAGTGGTGACGGAAGTAGTAAAGGTGAGCAGTCCGGAGTGTGGGAACTGTTAATAACGATTAGATCAAGTTATCTACAATCCTAAAATGCTATGGGAAGGGAGGGAAACAGGTTCACGACGTAGTAAGTGGTGAAGGAAGTAGTAAAGGTGAGCAGTCCGGAGTGTGGGAACTGTTAATAACGATTAGATCAAGTTATCTACAATCCTAAAATGCTATGGGAAGGGAGGAAATCAGGTCCGTGACGTAGGAAGTGGTGAAGGAAGTAGTAAAGGCGAGCATTCTGGAGTGTGGAAACTGTTTATGACGATTAGATTAAGGAATCTGCAATCCTAAAATCCTACGGGAAGGGATGGAAAGAGGTCCGCGACGTAGGACGTGGTGAAGGAAGTAGTAAAGGTGAGTAATCTGGAGTGTGAAAACTGTTTATGACGATTAGATTAAGGAATCTACAATCCTAAAATGCTATGGGAATGGAGGGAAACAGGTCCGCGACGTAGGAAGTGGTAAAGGAAGTAGTAAAGGCGAGCAGTCTGGAGTGTGGAAACTGTTTATGACGATTAGATTAAGGAATCTGCAATCCTAAAATGCTATGGGAAGGGAGGGAAACAGGTTCACGATGTAGGAAGTGGTGAAGGAAGTAGTAAAGGTGAGCAGTCCGGAGTGTGGGAACTGTTAATAACGATTAGATCAAGTTATCTACAATCCTAAAATGCTATGGGAAGGGTGGGAATCAGGTCCGCGACGTAGGAAGTGGTGAAGGAAGTAGTAAAGGCAAGCAGTCTGGAGTGTGGAAACTGTTTATGACGATTAGATTAAGGTATCTACAATCCTTAAAATCCTATGGGAAGGGATGGAAAGAGGTCTGCGACATAGGAAGTGGTGAAGGAAGTAGTAAAGGTGAGCAGTCCGGAGTGTGGGAAATGTTTATGACGATTAGATTAAGGTATCTACAATCCAAAAATGCTACGAGAAGGGAGGAAAACAGGTCCATGACGTAGGAAATGGTGTAGGAAGTAGTAATGCTAGCAGTGCAGAGTGTAGGAACTGTCTGTGGCATTTATGTATCTGCAATTCTAAAATGGTATAGGGAAGGAGGGCAAACAGGTCCACGACGTAGGGAGTGGTGAAGTAAGTAGTGAAGGTGAGCAGTGTGGAGATTGGGAGTGGATTAATGTATCTGCAATACTTTTCAGAGTAAACTAACAATTTTCCCCGAGCAAAGCTCCGTCCCCAGGTACTGGTACTCTAATACGAGCAATGTTTGCTTGTATGTATGCTTGCTTGCTTGCAGAACAATCTCGAAAACGGCTCCGACGATTTTCTTCAAATCTTGTAAATAGTATATTTTTGGCCTAAAAACGAGTTTCATGCAGTTAGAACTGCCAATAAAAATCTAATTACGTAGAAAAACAAAACTGAAAGTCACATTTTTTTAACATTATTAGTCTTATAGGTTGCTAAGTAACCATGTTGGTTGAATTAAATAACAAGGAAAAAGAAAACAAAAATTTGAAGTTGTAGCATGTGTTCATAATAAGACAACTACCCACAGTATACTAGCAAATTACAAATACAGTACAAAAGGGAAAGCATATCACTTCTTACTTTTGAGCAAAGATTATACTGAAGATTGCTCAATACATTGTAGGCCTAGTAAAGGCAAGCAGTACGAAGTGTGGGATCTGTTTATGACTATTAGATTAAGGTTATCTGCAATCCTAAAATGCTATAGGAAGGGAAGGAAACAGGTCTGCGACGTAGGAAGTGAAGAAGGAAGTAGTAAAGGCGAGCAGTCCGGAGTGTGGGAACTGTTTATGACAATAAGATTAGGGTATCTGAAATCTTTAAATGCAATGGGAAGGGAGGGAAACAGGTTTGCGACGTAGGAAGTGGTGAAGGAAGTAGTAAAGGCGAGCAGTCTGGAGTGTGGGAACTGTTTATGATGATTAGATTAAGGTATTTGCAATCATAAAATGCTATTGGAAGGGAGGGAAACAGGTCCGCGACGTAGGAAGTGGTGACGGAAGTAGTCAAGGCGAGCTGTTTGGAGTGTGGGAACTGTTTATGACGAGTAGATTATGGTATTTGCAATCCTAAAATGCTATGGGAAGGGAGGAAAACGGGTCCGCAACGTAGGAAGGGGTGAAGGAAGTAGTCAAGCAGGCGAGTAGTCCGGAGTGTAGGAACTGTTTATGACGATTAGATTAAGGTACCTGCAATCCTAAAATGCTATGGGGAGGAAAGAAAACAGGTCCGTGACGTAGGAAGTGGTGAAGGAAGTAGTCAAGGCGAGCTGTCCGGAGTGTGGGAACTGTTTATGACGATTAGATAAGGGTATTGGCAATACTAAAATGCTATGGGAAGGGAGGGAAACAGGTCCGCGACGTAGGAAGTGGTGGAGTAAATAGTCAAGGCGAGCTGTCTCGAGTGTGGGAACTGTTTTTGACGAGTAGATTATGGTATTTGCAATCCTAAAATGCTATGGGAAGGGAGGAAAACGGGTCCGCGACGTTTCAAGTGGTGAAGGAAGTAGTCAAGGCGAGCTGTCCGGAGTGTGGGAACTGTTTATGACGATTAGCTTAAGGTATCTGGAATCCTAAAATGCTATGGGAAGGGAGGAAAACAGGTCCGCTGCGTAGGAAGTGGCGAAGGAAGTAGTATGGCTAGCGGGGCAGAGTGTGGGAACTGTCTTTGGCAATTACATTAATGTATCTGCAATCCTAACATGCAATGGGAAGGGAGATAAACATTTCCACGACGTAGGGAGTGCTGAAGGAAGTAGTAAAGACGAGCAGTGTGGATTTTGGGAATGGATTTATGTATCTGCAATACTAAGACTACTTTCATAGTAAACTAATGATTTTCCCCGAGCAAAGCTCGGTCCCCAGGTACTGCATATTACACAATCAATATCACCGTTGCCTAGCACCTATTTGTATTATTTATTATTATTTTTGGTGATACCTCAATGGTTTCTTCACATAACCTTAAAGTTGTAGTTGTGTTGACTGTTAGTGTACATTCTTATTGTGGTGAATAGTGGTAATAGGGTATAGTGTGGTGAAAAATAGCGTTAGTAACACGGACCGAAATGGTTTTGCAGCTCTCGATTGTTTTAAGTTCTCGACTTCGTCTCGAACTTAAAAACTATCTCGAGCCGGCAAAACCTCATTTTCGGCCCTAGGTACGAAATATACTATTTCGTTATCTCATTTAAAAAGAAAAACCAAACATGTCCTACACATCTTTACAAGATGTTTCAGAGTATGAAAGTATTATTTAAGAGTATAGAGTATATTTTATTAGCTTTATTATTTTTTTTTTTAAGAGGTTGGCGGCCTCTTTTTAACCTTGCATTTACCCGTCCACATAGACTACCATACAGATCTGTGCGTGGAACATATACAGCAAAGCAAGGGGTGAGACGGTACAATACAAAGGTGAACTGTACTGATAAAATATTTGCGGCAGTGAGTGACCA